GCCTGGACAACTTGGCAAGACCTCATCTCTACAATAAATCCAAAATTAGCCAGGCATGGTAGCGTGCGCCTGTAGTTCCAGCTACTTGGAAGGCTGAGGCGGAAGGACCGCCGGAGCCCAGCAGGCGAGGCTGCGGTGGCCGGGAGGAGCCACTGCACTCGTCTGGGCGACAGAGTGAGACTCCAACTTGGGGAAAAGAAAAAAAAAAGTTCCCATTTAGTTTCCTTATTTTACAATATCATATGTAAAATCCCTCCTTTTAAAATAAAAATAAAGGAAAATTAAAGCTTCATGGAATCATGCAAACTCTACACCCAGTACCTCCTTTGCTCTCAGTGCTCAAAGCTGTGTGCTCTGCAGCTCAGTCTGCAGCAGACTCCACAGTCAGTGAAAGCAAATTTCCAACATGTCACCCCCAAAGCACTTCTAAACATGGTGCTCATTGGAGGTCACCTGAACACTGTTCAAAGTGCCAGCATTTTAGAAGCAATCAATTTGGAGAACCATCCCACCCCTTCAGAGGTAGAAAAACTGAGGCACAGAAAGGTTAAGTAGCTGGGCACAGTGGCTCATGCCGGTAATCCCTGCACTTTGGGAGGTGGAGGCAAGAGGGTTGCCTGAGCCCAGGGATTCAAGACCAGCCTGGGCAACTTGGCGAGACCTCGTCTCTACAATTAAAAAAAAAAAAATTAACCAAGTGTGCATGCCTGTAGTTCCAGCTACTTGGAAGGCTGAGGTGGAAGAATCGCCTGAGCCCAGCAGGTCAAGGCTGCAGTGGCTGTGACCGTGCCACTGCACTTCAGCCTGGGTGACAGAGTGAGACTCCAACTCAAAAAAAGAGAATGGTTAAGTGACTCACCTATATTTGCACAATTCAGGGAAAAACAGAAAAGAAGAAAGAAATCCTTCTCCCTGGCTCATGCTCTGGGCCCTAGACACTACTTTTTAATCATGTTGGGTATACTTGAAATAGATGATTATTTATATGATCCTTGTTCTGAATATCAACTTTTTACTAGACAACATTTTTTGATGTAACAAAGTCACATCAAAATATAATTATTTTGTTGCATGTGAGAAATATGTATGAAAATGAGTGGTTTGGGCCAAATTCTCACCGCTGTTCCTATAATTCTTAATCTTTTCAAGTATACAATGGAGGTACAAGAATCTGGCCAGATGTGAAAAATCACCTATAAGCTAAAGGACAGATCCTTAAAATTCATCACTAGTAGAATTGAGGTGGAAGTAAGGAATACAAAAAGTTGAGGTATTTTTATATGATAAACTGTCTTGTGGTGTGACTGATGTACAAGTTGTTTTTTTCTTTCCAACTCAAGTTAACGAATCTAGCTATGAATATAAGTAAAACCTATGAAAAATGAACACGGACATGTTCTTGGGAGAAGGTCAATATTGAGGACTTATTGACACATTTTTGGTCCCTGAGAAGCTGGAACACCAAGAGTCCATCCAATCCTTTTTGATGGGTGAACAACCTCCATGGTGTCAGTCACTCTGAAAAGGAAACTCCTCCCAAACACAAAAGCTAGTCCACACAGTTATGAACAGATATTAAAATGAAATGTTCTTCTCTTTCTAGTTTCCTACTCCATCACAGGAAACCTAAGTCAGAATCAAGTAGGCACTAGAGACAAGAGATAGGCATGGCTCTGTGAACCACCAGAGCATTCTCTTCTAGACTAGTTGAACTGCTTGGAAATGAATTATGTCACAGGTAGGCGGCCTGTGTGCATCACACTTATTTCCATGGTCTGAGTGTTTATCCATGCCAAGGAGACACTGCATCTCTAGGGCCTGTCAGATATCTAGGCACTGGCTTCTAAAACTTGAGCGAAGAAGGAAGATGAAAGACAACTGCACGTTTGCATAGTGCTCTCTTCTAATGAAAACACACATAAAACCCAACGAAGAAGAACAGTGACCAACATATTACTGCTGGTATGAACTTCTGGAAATACAACTGAGTGCAGCAAGCTGACTTGAAAAGTAGGACACAAAGAATATTTCTTATTGCTAAACAAAGAGCAGCGAAGTATATTTCACTAACGCTATAATATGTAAAGACTGTGATAAGAGTCTAAGTGATGAGCAAGGCCCCCCAAAAACCAGGTTCCTCACCAAAGTTCCCAATATGGGCAGTGCCACATTCCATGGGTGGCAGGGAGCAGAGCAGACTGCCCTCCCCCTCCAGAACTTTCTCCACAGAGATGGTGTGGTCTTGCAGACCAGCAAAATGCTCCAGGGTAGCCTCTTGGAGCTAGGAGTGGGTTAGATTTCTTAACTGGCCCTAAAATTGATTGATGAGCAGAACAGGAAGCAGTCTTTCCAAATGCAGAGATTCAGATGAGAAAACAAGGCATTGTTCAAGTAGGAGAGAAATGGCTTACTTAAACATCAAGAGTAAATCTGCAAACTGGTCAAAAAGCTTTGATTTTAGAGGAGGCTTGAAAACAAGTATACAACAGGTATTTTTTGCAAAGACTAGTATAATAATGAAAATGTTTCATATGCATTTACTTTTGGGGTGACCAATAAGAGATCCATCTCCATACTAGGCCATCCCCCAAGGCTTTCACCTCGGGACTTTTTTCTCTGCATTTTCAAATGAATTATGAAAACATAAATTTGTAAAATAAATACTATTAAGTCAGAAGGTCTATGCTCTACGTGAAATTTGAAAAAAAAGGCCGTTGAAACCATCGGTCATGCCATTTCAAGTTTCACACACTTGAAAAACAATGAATGACATAAACTTTGTTCAGAAGCTAAGTATCCCATTGAAGCATCTGCTGGACAGATGTATACCTGCAAGATGCTGTTTCAGGACCAGCCGTCGTTAAGAGGAGAAGAGCTACTAGTATTTTGATATTTTGTCTTGCTCTAAAAATATCATAGGAAAGATCATTTGAAAAATACTACCTCTGAGATATAATAAGGTACACTAATAGCTACATTTAAACTCAGCTTCATATGAAAGCTGTAGCAAAAACAAACATGACAATCTCCATATGACACATGAACTTTCTCATTATACTTGTACAGGCACATGTATTCTTTAAATATCTCAAACATCTTAGGTAAGTTTTCTCCTACATAGGAAACTATTGTTATGCCTAAAAGTATATTGATACTGCTTTACTATATTTTCGGAAAGTTGAGTAAATTAAGACCTGCATTCCTAAAAATACTGATGATAAAAAATAAACCTTCAGAAGCTGATCAGAAGAGTAATGGACTTTTGAGTATGTATTTACCATCAGTTAATATAGGATTTAAAATTTTTTAAATTAATTTTGTTGCTGCTCTTAGTTCACAAGTCACTGACAATCTGTGATCATCACATGTACTTTAAACTCATAAAGGTATTTTCCTCTCTGCTAAACTAATCTCATTCTACTCAGCCTCTTTGTCCAACACTTTAGGGAATCTTTACTTTTATAAAATGTTCTTTTTGCCTGGAAACTGCTTTTCACTAGTGAGCAACTTTAATTGGATATTATAAAATGTTAAGTTCTATTTCACGCCATCTACTCAACTCAGCCCTGTGTTTCTGCTTGGCATGTTCCTGACTGAGATGAAATGTGGTGATGGAGTTCAAGATGGCCCGATGACATGCTGCATCACTTCATGCTTTGCTCCCACTTGATACACACATGGAAGGTTACGTACATAAAAAATAATCTCTTTGATTCAAATACTGGCATAATTAATGGTTATTTTGCATTTAGGACATGTAATGAGAGGTTAGGTGAGAAACGGGGACACCTTGCCATCTCAAATAACAAGGAAATGGCTACACTGTTTCCATTTTTGTTAGAAATTATTTTTAAAACTATGTATTCCAATTTGTAAAAACTAGCCTAAGCTCAGTTGTGCCCTTTAACTTGTTCCTGTATTATAGGCACTCAATATATGTGCTTTTGAACGGTTTCTCTCTCATTTAACAGCCTTACATCAAATCATGTATTTCTTCAGAATGCCTTGTTGATAGAGAATGTGGATATATTTGATACTGGATCCCAATTACATAGACTGAACACAAAGTATCTTAAATCAGTTATCTTTAATTGGACAATACCTACATGCTAAACCAGTCATTTGCACTATGTGTCTTTAGTCTGGACTGTCTTCCAATGAACATACAGTCATGCGCTGCATAACAAAATTTCTGTCAAGGAAGACCACATATCTTTTTACTGTACCTTTTCTATGTTTAAATGTGTTTAGATACACAAATACCACTGTGTTACAGTTGCCTACAGTATTCAGTACAGTCACATGCTGCAAAAGTTTGTATCCTAGGATCAACAGGCTATACCATATAGTCTAGGTGTGTAATAGGCTATACCATCCAGGTTTGTGTAAGTGCACTCTGATGTCTGCACAATGAAATCAACAATACATTTCTCAGAATGTATCCCTGCATTAAGTGATGCATGACTATATTATTTCTAACTGCTTTACACATTTGTAACTTGAATATTGAAATGTTAAAGCATAATCAAGGAAGTTGCATTATTCTAATCTAAGAGAACATACACACAGTAATAATCAAAATAAGTTAATAATTCAAGTGATAAAAAGGCACTGAAATTGAGCTGTTGAAAAGTCACCCTCCAATGAAACATTCTGTCATGTCCTGAACTCTTCTCTATTTACTATTACTATGTCTTGGGATGGGTGGGTGAATGGGGAGAGTCAACTTGTTAGAGGATTAAGAACAATTCAGTATATATGCCTCTTACTTAGATGACAAACTTGAATGTTACACATGCTTAATGAAACTAACCTATTCACTGTACAGAGCTGACTTCAAGACAGTTTCTCTCATTTCCAAGCCAATCTAAGAACCCCGTCTTTTTCTGTTTGAAAAATGTTAAAATGTTTTAAAAGAAAAGAGTACTTATGAAAGCTTCCAGGTTAATGGAAATAAGAATGAGATTCACCTCATCAGAGAGAGATGGTGCCCAGGCAACTGTTGGGCAACTCTGGGCTGCAGAAGGCTAGCCTCCACTCTAGAGCTAGGCCTTGCTCCCCACAGTCCAGAAGACCATCCGTCAGGACACAGGCACCTCTAACACCAGAGGAAGGGTCTCTTCCACTTCACATCCAGTCAGGGTCGGAAACCACCTCCAATGCCTGTTCCTTAGGCCAGCCAACCCGTGTCGCATCCTAGTCTGTTTTCATATTAGACTTGTTCATCTCCCCAAGGTTGAAATTGAACTCTTTGAACACCTGTATAAGGACAATCCCAACGGAGACAGTTGTGAATCCACAGGCCATCCCTAAGAAGTCCACCAGGCCCACGTTGCTCCACTCCCGGAAGAGGATGGCTGAAGCCAGCAGGACCAGTGTGGTGAACACGACATAGTAGATGGCCCCGAACACTGAGGAGTCGAAGCATTCCAGCGCCTTGTTGATGTACCTGAACTGGACGATGATGCTGCAGCCCAGCACAGCCAGGAGCACCAGGCACAGGCAGAGGGCTCTCTGGCTGGATGGGTTGTTGTGCAAGATGTCCTGGGCCGCCAGCCCGATGCCCTTGGTGGAAGGCACGGTGAAACTGCCCAGCAAGGAGCAGATGCTGATGTAGACCATAATGTTGGTGGGCCCGTGAGCCGGTGCGATCCAGAAGATCAGCAGCAGCAGCATGAGCAGCACGATGCACAGGTAGCCCACAAACACTGCAAACAGATGGCATGTGACCTGCCGCCCACCGGCTGCTATACAGACGGCAAGCTACAGCAGATCATGCCCCCACCCACCACCCGCACCTGTTGTGGTTATGGTATGAGGGGCAGGCTCTGGCTTGAGTTTACCAGATCACTAGGAAAACATTTACAGCCCCTACCTGTGGACATGGCTCTTCCCCATTAGAACCATTTTTATAACAATACATGTCATTGGAGATACCTGAAGGCTGGCAAGGACATTCACAAGATTAATTTTCTTAGAGTCAAGAAACCCTGGCTGAATGCCTGTCGCAGGTGACAGTACGGGGAGTTCAGGGGCTGAGGTGAGGGATCTGAAGCCGGGGGGTGCACATGGCAGACAGGGCTATTCACACAGCCCTGTACCACCAAATATGACCTGTCCTCCTCCTCCCAACTTTCAGATGTCTCCTTGGACTAGTAAGTGAAAAACGTGTAAAAGACTCAAAGCCTACAACCAATTTTATGTATAAAACAGTAATTTTTGCATGGATTTACTATACACTGAATTTTTCAGAAATGCATCTTCCATGTAAGTTGAGAGAGGATTATGTTGTGATCAGAACTTCTCTAAGAGTTATTCTCCACACAGAGGACCATATTGGTTTTTTGTTTTTTTGAGTCACTCTGTTGCCCAGGCTGGAGTGCAGTGGCTGCTCATGACCACTGCAGCCTTGACCTTATGGGCTCAGGCAGTCCGTCCACCTCAGCCTTCCAAGTAGCTGAAATTACAGGCACTAACACACCCGACTTTTTTTTTTTTTTATTGTAAAGACAAGGTCTCAGCAAGTTGCCCAGGCTGGTCCCAAATCCCTGAGTGCAGGCAATCCTCTCACCTTGGCCTCCCAAAGTGCTGGGATTACAGGCTTGAGCCACCGCACCTGGCCTGACCATATTGTTAATGGCAAGACCCCCTGAGTACATGTGAGGAGCATTACACCCTGGTCTGTATCTGTAGCCGCCAGACTTTCAGTGACTCCACACATGATGTGAGGACTACTGGGCTTCAACACAGCTTCTCCTGGGGCTGTAACTGAGCATTTCCATACTAAAATGCATGGTTTATTACAAAGCACCATCCTACTATTTATCCCCATCACAATGACTATAATATTATTATATCAATATCAATATACTATTGTATTGGCTGCTTTGAAATTGTGTGTACAAGGAGGTTGTTTTCCATAGACTCCACCCCCAGATGGTAAATAGGCCTGAAAGGGCTGGGCACTGCTTGCAAGTATAGACACAGACTAGCATGGGAGGACATGCATACCAGCAAGCAGACAGTGGGAGCCTACTCAAAGGGAGGACTCAGGAAGACTCATAGGAAAGAGCCATGAAAGGATAACTGAAAACTGCCTGGGAGCCTGACCAGCAACACACACTGGCAACAGGGCAGCGGAAGGCGGAGCCATCAGCATATATGAGCACAAAATAGTGCCCAGTCATGGGGCATGTTGAAGAAGCACCCCGAATAAAAGTGTGGGCTTCATACCAGGAAAAGCAGCAGGGCTGGTATCAGCGGCTTGGGCTCTTGTAGGAAGGAGCTGGTGGAGGCTTTTGAGGCCGCACTGGGACATAATCAGACTACATTTCAGGAGGGCCTCAGGATGGCTGTGGTGAGGAGCAGGGATAGCAACCCCAGGCCTCACCCTACTGCGGCAGTGCAGAGGGCAGGAAAAAGAGGTGGGAAGTGGCCACATGGGCAGAGGAGACAGGAGGGACAGGAGTGGCTCAGCAGCCAGGGCACTTGGATACACCTCGCAGCTGATTTGAGAACTGGGAAGTTCAGAAAAACCCACATCCAAGAAAACCTCTCTTTTCACATGGTCAGACTTTTTTTTTTTTTGAGTTGGGAGTCTCACTTTGTTACCCAGGCTGGAGTGCAGTGGCACAATCACAGCTAACTGCAGCCTCGACCTCCTGGGCACAGGCAATCCTCCTGCCTGAGCCTCTAGAGTAGCTGGGACTACAGATGCATACCACCACACCTGGCTAGTTTTTTATCTTTGTAGAGACAAGGTCTCACTATGTTGCCCAGGCTGGTCTCGAACTCCTGGGCTCAAGCAATCCTTCCACCTCAGCCTCCCAGAGTGCTGGGATAACAGACATGAGCCAGCACTTCACCCTGCTTTTATTATCATCTTTAGCCACGGAGCCAGATACCCGTCAGCTTTGTGGCTCCTACTTTTAACTTCAGTGTCCTTCAACCCTTTTTCATGGTCACTTCCCCAAGGAACTATTGTACACTTTTCTCCTAATCACCCACCCCCATGAAATAATCTAAAATCACTAATATATTGTATATCATTTATATCTTGTATCTGTGTCTATGCTTTATACTTTTTTCACCCCCACAGGGACTCGTTTTCGCTCTGGGGGAAACACTGAGCATGTATGCTTCAAGGCATGGTCTCCTTAGAGAAGTTTCTACAATGCTTCCTTTCCTTCCCCTAAGTATCAGAGATCACAAATCACAGAATTCAGAAATGTAAACAAGTACTGATTTTAAATTTCTTCTGAGGCAATTATTCAACAAAAATTCATTCTGGTGTTTTTACCTAGAGGAAAAAAAAAACTTTAATCTAATAAACTACATGACCAGAAAAATACCATTTTATATTCTAGATTTTAAAATGTTTTTCATGCTATAAGGAACATTTTTTACCATTATATGTTCATACATAATTTTTATGGTGATATTCAAATTAGCCATTTTTTTTGTATAAGTTAGGACCTGAATATATTGGTATCATCCACATTTATCAAAAATGTAAGGCCAGGCATGGTGGCTTACGCCTATAATCCCAGCACTTTGGGAGGCTGAGGTGAGAGGACTGCCTGAGCCCACGGGTTTGAGACCAGCCTGGGCAACTTGATGAGGCCTCATCTCTACAATAAATCAAAAAATGTGCCGGGTATGGTGGCACATACTTATAGTTCCAGGTACTTGGAGGGCTGAGAGAGAAGGATCGCCTGAGCCCAGAAGGTCGGGGTGCGGTGGCCATGAGCATGCCACTGCACTCAAGTCTGGGCGACAGAGTGGGACTCCTACTCAAACAAACAAACAAACAAAAATAACACATCCTCTGGATGGGCTCTGGAAATTGAGGACACTCCTATCTGGTTCTCTGATTTTTTTCATGTCTTTATACTCTCATTTCTCACAGTATTGGAAACGTTTTGACTTGTAAGGAATAAACAAATATCATGATGCTAAGTGTTTGGGAAAAAACATTACAGGGAGAGGCTAAATTCACCCTGAATTCTCTCTTCGAGTCTCACAGACATTTCTGCTGCTGTGTCCATCTCTGCAGAGTGGTCTTTCATGGCCTGGAGACACCTGTGTGTCAGCACCTGCCTAAACAGGGTGGTCTACTGGAAGGAAAATCTATATGGTAAGTGTTTTTTTATTGCATCTGTCAAAAAATATATATAAGAAGTGATTATGTCAAAAAAATATATATGCAGGGCTCTCTGGGGACTGTAAAGATGAGAGACACTGGGTCACTGTTGGCAGGGGCAGGGCATAGCAGGTACAAGAAGGAATTCATGGGGAGGGCAGGGTAGCAGTCAGATGTGGAGGGCCTGCTGAAGGGAGGAGGAGGCACTGAGGCACAGATCCCAGAAGTGGATCCCACCCAGGGGGTGCCCAGGCTGGGGGGGGGGTGAACAGACAGGGGAGGTAGCGTGAAGGCCAGGGGTATGGAGGAGGGTGGGCTTGCACACAGCTCACTACCACATGCACACGGAGAACACAGATGTGCATGACAGGTGCAGTGGACACACAGTTCACCTGCACCATGGGAAAGGGGTGGATTAGAGGCCTGGGTGGAAAAGTCAGGGTGCCTTTGGGCATCTCTTAGAGTTCTGCTAGGGAGCAGATACCTGGGTTGGTCAGCTTCTCCTCTAGCTCAGCCTGCGTCGTCACACTCTCAGACTTTGGGGAGTGGATGATCAGCACGACAGAGCCTGCACAGCTCAGCAGACATCCCAACTTGCCCAAGATGTTGAGCTTTTCCTTCAGAAGATAAGAAGCCAAGATGGACCTTCAAAAAAAGAAAAATTATTAGAGTGTAGCTCAAACTATCTGGCCTCTTTCCTCTAACTATAGATATTTTATCTTTAAAAAATCTTCTTTATAGCCTTATTTTACTTTTAATTTAGTTTTTTTTTTTGTCAGTCTCACTCTGTCACCCAGGCTGGAGTGAAGTGGCACGCTCACGGCCCCCGCAGCCTTGACCTGCTGGGCTCAGGTAATCCTTCCACCTCAGCCTTCCAAGTAGCTGGGATTACAGGCTGAGCCACCAAGCCCGGCTTAATTTTTTGATTTATTGTAGGGACAAGATCAAGTTGCCTAGGTTGGACTCAAACCCATGGGCTCAGGCAATCCTCTCACCCTGGCCTCCCAAAGTGCTGGGATTAGAGGCGTGAGCCACCGCACCTGGCCTCAATTTAGTTTTTAAGAACAGAAAAGATTAGGAATTTATTGACATTATTTCAACACAAAATTTTGATAACAATTCCACACATAGCCACTATATAGTTAATGACACTCCTTACTCATACCACTACATTATTATTTCAACACCAGCATTAAAAAAAGGTTTATGATAGACCAAAAATAAAAGTACTGCTTCCTTACTCATAAAAGCAAACAATCAAAAAACTATTTGAAGTGAGAAAGTAGGGTACAAAAATTGTCAAAATAATGATAAATAATGCATGATAAAAACACTTGATTTAAAATAAACTAAGTAAAAAATTAACTTACAGAAGAAAAGTAAAAATACTAATAGCAATTGCAGTATGGTAGACATATGAGTGACTGTGTATTCTTCATAAAACATCTGTCATGTTCACGCTTGTTATATGCTTCTTCTCTGGTTTCCCTGTGTCACATCAATATACAGTCTGAATTGGAAAACCTGGGCTCGTTCGTGACCTGCCTGGGCAACTTGGTGAGACCTCATCTCTACAATAAATCAAAAAAAATTAGCCGGGCGTGGTAGCGCGTGCCTGTAATTCGGGCTACTCGGAAGGCTGAGTCAGAAGGATCGCCGGAGCCCAGCAGGTCGAGGCTGCAGTGG